TATAAAGCAATCAGACTGTGGTTTTCACAAGAAGTCGAAAATATCATTTTACCAAAAATGACAAAAATATTCTTCAAAATTAGGAAATTAAAGATATCACCACGAAATGAACAAATCTAAAAGTGGTCTGCCCAAGATACAAAGTATCAAAGCAATACGAATTGTAGTTTTCAAGAAGTCGAAAAAGTAAACAGTTGACACGGATGTCGTCGGACAATTACTCATAAGCTCTGACGATGAAAAACAAATCATCTTTATTCTTTACCGGTATTAAATCTGATATATTTATAAACCACTTAATATATTCTGCTCACTAATTTTATGAATATTACTGTAATATATTTTAGTGATGGTGTGTGGCTTTGTATAAGAAATAAATATTTTTGAAAAGTATACAAGTTTTAACTCAATTTATTTCTAATATGAATTAAGTTTCACTAGAATATGCAGAAATGTAAAATGGTGCATATCACTGCCCCCCCCCCCCCCCGGAATACTTTCCAGCTTGTCCTTATTTGGTTACCATGGCAACTGATTCAATAAATTGTGTCCCTCTCAACAGATTGACCTCGATTATAACCATTGGAGTGCTCTGCAGCTGCTCTAACATTTTAGACAGGGGTCATGAGGCAAGCGCCCTTGACTAGCATAACATTACAAATTATTTTAAAACTACTTGTGGATACGTGAACATATGGCATTGCAGTGTACAAGTTAAATAGGCTGATTATGTGCACTTCTGAAAGCATAGTTTGAAGTACATAAAGGCCACCAGATCTGATTACCTTACATTTACAGCATATACTATGACACCATTTATTTTCACTATTTTAATGTTTTGAGCAATTTCACTGTTTTAATTTCACGAATTTGTCAAGTAAAAAAATGAGCTTATTTTACATATTCACATACATTTAATTGACTTACCAGCAAAATTAAAACCCAGTGAAAAACTAATACATTCACAGACCTGCCAAACCCATTTATACATGCACTACTAATCAAGTAAATACAGCAGTCCAAGACTTTTTTTTTACTACAACATTGGGTAATTTAAGCCTATGTGAATTTAGTATTGCTCCCGTCCAGCGTAGAATATATTAGTAATTCAATCTTTGCTATTTATCAATAGAAAAGAAACCATTTTTGTTTTTGCAAATTGTATTTTATTTCCAAAGAATACAAGAGAGCACAAGCCATAGCTTATCTTGGCAAAAATTGCACATTTGTATGAAAAAAAAAAAGTACTTTGCTTCTTGAAGGATACAAGTTAACTACACTTGGCGTGAATGTAGTATTCTCTTTCGGCATTCAATATTGTGCTTCTTTTTTAATGCATTCCACAAAGTAAGTTTTGAATTAAATAAAATACTGACTGGCCACCCTAAGTACCACAGTTTTTCAAAAAGCAATACAAACATATCGCAGATAGCCACCAGATTAGAAAATATACATCATAATAAAACATCAGAATAAAAAAAAAAATTCCAATCAAAGTTCATTTCTGTGGTGCAACACTCTCCCTTTGCCAACGATAATTGGATACTTTTATTTGTAGACTAGCCTGCTCACCCAATATTTAAAGCGAGAGAGTCGTCACCTGTGCATGCGTCAGATGACCATAGCGTGTCATTGTTTATAAACAAGTGTTTACCCATGAAACTTTGCGTTTTTAGCATGTGTTGTTATCGTCGCTTGGGACGCAATTCTCGCGTGTGCGCAGGTGACGACCCTCCCGCTTTAACCCTACACTGCACTTTGTTACTTTCCACAAAATTTGCTCTTTGACATGAAGATCTATAAGGATACAAACTATCATATTTTGTTCTCAGAATCCTCAAGTACAAAAATTCTGGTGGGTAAAACAACCCGATACAGTAGAATTTACATACAAAATGAGTTAAATTAAATAGGGGTAGTCCTTGCATCACTCCTGAATGCATGTAAGGACTCTGAGGAGTCAGACGGTATTTAATGCATATTGCTGTTTATCAACACAAATCTTGCATATAAATGATGTGATTTAAGTGTGTGCACTTCCCATATTTTATGGCCAATCATGCAATTTTCTTATCAACAATGTAAAAAAAAATCTCACTAATTTCACTACAACTGCATCTCGCCCTAAAAATTACTAGGTACCATGGAGACTGGTATATAGCAAGTATAACAGCATGCAGATTCAAGGCTACTCACAGCATAACCAAGAAAATCGTTCTGCTGAGAGTTGGTTTTATAGAGGTAAGGTGATGAATGGACCTTCAACAACATCGAATTAGTAAGACTTGTGACCATATACAGAGATTTTCTGTCTGTTAATTGGAATGTTATGAAACATTTCAATGAGAATTCGGGAATGATACTATAAGTACACTATGCTCAAACATAGATTAGTTGAGAAAAAGCAAGGGGATAGTAACATAAGCTGTATAAAGAGATTAAAATAATTTTGTGATCAGTAAGCTCAAACGAATAAATAATTGAGAATTCTTAAACAAATTCCCACTATAAAGGATCATAAAAGAATTACTGGGCCATTGCCAAAAATAACAAATCACTGATGATCAATTCAGCATAACTAGCTGAAGAATACAGATATCACACAGACCTGAAGTGCATATATAAAAATCAAATGCGGCCGACGATGTCACAATCAATACCAAAGAGCAAAACGATGTTTTCAATGTCAGTAAAGAACAATGTTGGTTAGTGCTTGTTTTTTTTTTAGACTAGTGATATGCACAAAATACAACAGATGTGAAGAGTTATCGTTAAAACCAAGTATCTAAAATCTAAATAATGCTGTCTTTGCTCGTCCCAGATCCCATGGCTGTAATCTCATTGAATCTTGCATAATTTGCTCAGTGTTGACAATTTTAACTTGACTCATCTGTAAATATGGCAGGGTAGAGTATAAACTGATCAGATTTGAGGGTTTGAACAAATTCCAATAATTGCGTACACATTGACCCATGGCTGACGGAGAACATACTTCAAACCATGTAATCAAGCACCAGTTGCATACCTGATAGAGAGAGCAAGGTGCATTGACAATCAACACGAATATTTTTTTTTCAATTTGGTGACACACCTGATAAATGAACCAACAAAGAGATTGAAATGTGAGCTTGCACACAATTTCAATAGTTGATTTTATCGGCATAACTCATTTTACTCTCTCCTATTTTGCTTCATTTTACCCCCTCCACCTAACCCAACACACTGTGAAATGACACAGAATGTTCCCTTGGAGGAGAGGGTGACAGCATTTAAAATAATAGTTGCTTGAAATAAAAATATCAAATTAGAAATGTAAAGAATCATCACTTCTTCACAGACCTCTTGTATCCTTCATTAAATATGTTGCTCACTCTTCCTGATGACTGAAACAAACCCAAATTGTCTCAGCGTTTTAAACAAACCCAAATGTTTTAGTTTTGATGGCAGTGGTCAGCTTAGTCTTGAGTATCACCTTAGATGAGTATAGTGGGATATAGAGTCTAGAAATGCAAGTATTGGCCGTGGGTAGATGGTCATCATCTGCTGGTCTCACTGTGATTGTTGGCATGGGTTGGAAACCTTCCTCACTGGCAGGTACATTGGGACTTGATGTCCAGAAATATACCTGAAAAAAATTGCACAATGTGTTTATTGACAATTGGTCAGTCATTTTACATCATGATCATGTACAGAGAGATTGGGCCTTTTCAGCATAGTAACAGTAAAATCTTTAGTTTGCTATAATTTGATTTATAGAGGTCTTGTTTAAGGTGAAACCTATCCTAAAAAATATGTTTGGTTTTGACTGGTTTCCACAAGGATGACTGGCACAGGTTTGAGTTTATTATTCCTGTGTTTTACAAAAAAATACCTGCAAGCTGAATACTAAAAACCAAATATACAACTTGTGGTTATATGACCCATTATACCAGTCGTACAGTTATTCTTGTAAATCGACACATCTTCGTCTTTATGCCAATTGTAAACAACTACAGTTGTATTCATATGCAGAGTGTGAATTGCTACAGTAAACTGTGCATAACTTGTAAATCATCCTTAACACCTTAGTCAAAGTGTAACGTTTAACAAGGAGATACAGAGTTCTCCAATAACTATAGAAAAAGTTGGCCAAGGTTGGAAGTTCGGACCTTTAACATCAAGAAGAACAGTAGGAAGAGCTGTCAAAACTAAGTTATTGTAAATTATAATGGAGATTCTTGGCAAATACAGGCATTGGAATGGTCATTTCAATGTCACACGTTATGCTTTGAATTATTCATGAGCAAATGACTAAGCCAACAATAGATCTCTGGTATTCACGTAAGTTAACCTCTGTTCAGTGCTGTGCACAGGGGCAATTCAACCACTAGCAGAGTATTCCAGTTTTATCATTTTCATTGTGAAATCATTGTAGTCATTGGTTTACAGGATAAACTTTGCTTATTGGGTTAGAATCTTGTAAATAAAACTCAACTTTGTAATATATAATAGATTGCAAAAACTGGAAAACAGCTTCCAACTCAGTTTAAACCTGATATACATGTAAAAGATTTCGATTTTAAAGAACATTCGTCAACTTACCAGATCTTGTCTTTCTTGGTTGTTCATTTTTTCAACAATGGACCAAAACCAACGTTTGAACTTTTGTAATTTCTCAGATGAATCACCTGCAATGAAGAATAAAGCATATATTCAAATCAGATTTGAAAAACTGCATACATACACACATACCATAAGCAGTCCCAACAACACAATAGATGAAGTCTACTGATTGGCTAAGAAGTAGCTGTATAATACATTTGAGGGTTTATAAACCAATCAGGGCATTTTATACACTCACCACTCTCATCATTGAATGCAGTATAACTTATCAGCTGTTGCAGGTTTACTTGTCCCACACCGTTTAATAAGAGTCTGAAATCCTCAGCAGTTAAACCATCTACAGCATTACGTGGTAACACATCAAATACTCCACTACGCAGAGACTGCAAACAAAAATATACAATGTCATCAGTTTACGAAGGATACAAATTACAGATTCAGAAGTGTATTTCTACAATTGACTACTAGTTTGTTCACCTTAAAGGATCTCGGCAAGTGCGGAGATTTTTAATCTTTATGTTTGGATTACAACAGTTGGGCTCACGTTTATCGGGACCCACATCAGGATCCACTTGTGTCAATCCCGACTCTCTATTGAGACCAAGATAGTTTGTCGGCATGTGCCAAATCAGTCTTGACCGCTCACTGACCGTTCATACACACATGTTGCCATGTGCCTACTCGGTCCTGACTCGACATGTTCCGAGATCTGTAACGTGAACGCCATTTACATTTTCCCATTTCATGTATACACAATATTTCATTAACGTCTTGAACAATAGGTGATTACTGAGGCTCTAATAGCCACTCAGTGTCAACCAGGAAACACACGAGCAAATACCATAATGTACATTCATGAGAACAAACATCTAGACTACTAATCTAATCAGATCTGAAGCGGAAAACAAATTCACAGCTAATTTCTGTGTTTCTCTGTTGATAGATATTCCTGTGCAACTTCAAACACACTAAAGATGTAATCAAACCACATATCGTGGTCACCAGACACAAAATAAATTGCAGTAAATATTTTCCGCTTACTGTGAGATCCAAGGTAAAAACAGGACAAATGTAGTGGGATTTGACAAACGTGAAAGTATTTCAGGGTATTTCCATACTTTATAATCATTTGATGATGGTGAATTTTGATAAAGTAAGGGTATCCTAATGCATTATTTTAATATTCAAAGATCAACATTGAGCTATAAAAAATTCAAATGATTCAAGTTTTGCTGCAGGTGTTTGGTCCACGCCTTTCACACAATGCATGAGATCCGTCAGTGAACAGGAAATCATTAATTACATGATTACACTCACCTGAATAGCTTTCTCTGCAACTTTCATCATCCTATATTCAGCATACTTTCTGACGTAATCAAAAACATTGGTTGCATTGACTGGTGCAAAAGCTCCTCCTGGTATAAGATCCACGGTGCACCCACCTTCTTCTTTACTTAGTTCTATACTATAATTTAAGTCTAAGGCAGAGAAGACGCTATCGGTTCCGTCTTTCTGAGAATCAACTATCAATTGGCGTAAACTTTCATACATGATTGGGTCAAAAAATGCCAAGTCATGCCAAGCAACCTAGAATAGAGAAGATAATAATAAGACTTGGTTGTCTACATCATACTACAGTACAGTGTTTGTTGAATAGTTTGTGTACGGTTGTGTTTGAAGATTTTTCACTAAGCATATTGAAAAACTGATTTATTTTATTATAATCATGAATTAATATTAACAATAAAGGTTAATAAACAATTGAATCATAAAATAGTACTTACCTTTTTACCTAATATTTGTTTTATAACATGTCTGTTCAATTGTAATGGACACAATTCATTTTGCAATAAACACAAGCCAATTATTCTGTGAATAAAAAAGAATATCTCGTCATGAATTGTTTCTAGAGAGGTGTTTTATGGTTTTACTATGACAGATACAATTAAATGAAATATTACATGAAAAGTTGTTATGTTGAGGGTATTCGGTGTTGGTAGAGTGTGCAATTCATAGACATATAATGAGCATTAGACTGGCCCAGCCATGGCAAATATATATATTTTTTCCCCTTAAATTATGGTCCAACGTGAAATTACCACGACTTGCCTATTCTGAGGCGCATTCATTGCTATTAATTATTCATGATATGCAGTGAAGTTTTAGAACCCAAAAGTAGAACAGTTCCAAAAGAGGAAAGTAGAAGAGATTCTAAACATCAGGTCATGTGTGCGTTACAGTCAGATCAAAAGCTTTCTTTCTTATTGGTTGGCAGCTTACAATTCATGCTACTCAATAGCATATTTATCACCTCAAAAACATGGTGACAACCATAGAGGGCGAGGCAGATCAGACTAGTCATGGAATTCGCATCAACACGAGAGATTCTACAAACTCAATCTTTGAGGAATTATAATATAAAATAATAAAATTGGGGCAGTCTAAATGAGCATGTCAAAACAAAGATACATGTTTATTATAATTCAAAGTTATCTACATTGATTTTTATATAAAATATAGAAATCTGTCTATAAACATCTTAGAACCAAAAAACAATTCAGAATGTGTTAAACGATGCAATCAAAACCAGACACGTTTATTTTCAAGGAACAATAAGCTAAGTTAATCTTACCTGCCAACATTTCTGAAAACGTTTAATCTCTCTGATGTGTTTTTTCCAGGGATTGGAGAATAAAATCCTCTTTTGCCGGGCTGATAGAACAATGGCACATTGTCATCAGTGTCATCTTCACTGTCCCCATCCAACTGATGAGGTTCTGTTTTTTTCAATGTTTTTTCAGGTTTATCTAAACTTCTATCAATCGAAAATATATCTGCATCTAGGATACTGTCGGCATTCACTTCCCTGTTAACATAAATATACAAGTATAACATATTTCAATATTAGAAGCAGACATGCTTAGATTTCAAAACCAGTGTGTTGGATACAAAGTTGGATGCAAGGGACTTCCACTTTTGGTAATGAGACCCATTGTTCTGGATACAATTAATTCCTGTAAATCCACACATGTCTAATATGCTAATTGGAAATCAGCCATACTTCTGGATTATCTTTGAAAGCTATCGCTAAATATCACAGTTTGTAGTATTAAAAACAAACCACTAAATATTACTTGATTGTACATACCTCCCATGTGACAGGATAATATCTGCGGCTTCATCAACTTTAGCTCTCAATGAATCTTCACTGGCCAACAAAAATAACAGTTGTGCTGGTGATAGTTCTAGTAACATACCAGTAATCTTACTTGCAAGAGACTGTAAAACAAACTTGATTATAATTTGCATAAACTACCTGATTGGTCAAGCAAATTAACCAATCAGCAAGAATCTTATAAATAATGGCCCAATAGTATTAAGTAAAGCACATATTCATTGTCATTTCTAGCCCAAGTTATTTTGGGTCAGATTTGTTCTGACCAAAAATGTTAGTGAAAAGTTTTATGATTTTTGTGTGGGTGAATTTGACAAAATTAAACACTGGTAATTCACAATAAAATTTAAAATGCAGCATCTTTAGAACTGGATTACTTTTCAAGGTGAAAGTGATAAAAATCAGCAATTACACAAAACAATAAATTTACTTACAGGCTGAAGTGCTTGTACCCGGGGAAACAATCTTTCACCAAAAGACTGTTTCTGTGGCGATAATGGCTCAAAGTCTCTATCTTCACTAGGGCGTTCAGAACTATGTACACTATAGAAAGGTCTAGCATCGTACGATAACTGACGCGATTCGCGACTTAGGCGGCGACCACGACGCTCCGCTTGACGTTGAAGTCTCTCACGTTCCCTCTCTCTGTTTCGAAGACGTTGTATGAGACCTAAGGATAAACAATAACTGTTGTAGTTGGGTTGTTTTATTCATATTTGACAAGTTCACAAAAAATTTGCATTCGTGGAACTTCACCTTATGTGTAGTTTTAATAACAATATTTTGTCTAAGCTAGCACTGAAATAAAAAGTCAAGAGAAGGATTTTCTTATAACAATTTGGTGCAGCCTTATGACAATTTCAGTTTTCATTGAAAATTGTAATGAAAGTTCAAATTTAGAATAAAAATAAAAAGCAGCCCATGGCTCAATTTTAGATAAACAAACTTACCAGAAACATTTTTCTTTTTTTCTTTGGACGTAATATTACATTGTATATTTAGAGGTTGTTACAGGTCAATTATTTTACAGTTTGATCAAAGCTACTGCACATTCTAGGCATGACACTGTACTACATGTACTTTTTTAAAAACAAAATGTTTGAGCGATTTTAAAAGCCACTGTTCTCTCCCCACAAAATGAAAGAGTTGAATGTACATGCAGTGAATTTTATCACAGAAACCATATTTCAGAATTTTCGGATCACATGTCAGGCCTGTGTGCCATAATCTTTATGTGATACTGTAAAATGACTAATTTTCAATTTCAGACATATTCAGTGGGTTTTAAATTCACGGTTTTATCATTTAGGTAATGTGTTCTATGCTAAATTTTACATATTCACTGGGTTTTAATTTAGCGCATTTTCCAGTCAGCGAAATAAGCAAAATTAAAACCCAGTGAATAATTAACCCCTTTACAGTACCTCAGTATCAAAAAGTAAACATTAAACTTACTGTACTGCAATCCTTTGCCAGCTCCCTGTAGATCCTCTAAGTTTGGCAGCTTATCTGGAGACATCAAAGCCTCTGCAATGGCGGTATAAAAGCTTCTTGCCACACCACTGCCTTCCCCAGGTTCGTCTTTGAAGGTCACCTTGACACGATGTACTGCCATAGGTTGCATAGCTGCACTTCTCCTTCCAAAATGAGAGTTTAGTTGACGTAGTGTCTGTTGGATCAATGCAGTTCTCTCTCTTTCAACCTAGTATTTAAAAAAATAGAATGATACACCAAAAATTAAAGATGATACCAAAGATTTATGAGATGAGATTATGCAAATGATGTGATATACCGAACTTGTCCGACTGAGCGTCCATGCTCTGCTAATCGCCACTCCCTCCCACTTTTGAGACATTTTGATTTTCGGGTTCCTGTTCGACTATGCACACACCCCCCTCTAAAATGCTCCAAATTTAAATGTCCAAGTCATAAAACCTGGTCTTTGATCATTGTTTGACTTTTCCAAACACCGGTAATCAAATATATATAATACAGCGTGGATATCAACTGCCATGAATATGTTGTGGATGCTTACACCATGGTAACCATGAGTGAACTACGCTTCACCAATGACCTGTGAAACGCAGTAAAGTAAATGAGTTTATAAAAGAAATTCATGCTGTTTTTTTGCCAAAATCAATTCCAACAGACCATACTTTGATATTGATAATTCACTTCCGCATTGCGTTACCAGAATGTCTTTGAGAATTCTCGAAGAATTGCATTGGTACAACATAGCATTCGGATTGGTTAATAACAAACTTGACCTATATGCTCAAAGAACGTTTTTATAGGTCAAATCATGCAAGAAAAAATAACATGGTCGAAAATACTTTGCATCAACAATGTTGAAGATTTTGACTTTGACTGTGTTACAACAGCCTAATAATTTTAACCTTGTAAATTCTGGTGTTATGTAATTAATATTGTAATGAAATCTGCTAATTTTTTGTGACTATTTATGTTTTTTCATTGTAAAAGTGTTGAAATCAATGATGATGCAACTAAATTTCCCATTTTATTTCCCCCAAAAGAGTTAATAATATATTATCCTCAATCTCTCACAAATTGTCATTTGAACACTTTTTTGAGGGGGATGCTCAGGTAAGCATACTCCCCACTAAACCATACGATTTTTGGAGTTGAATACCCTAGGCAGACAAGTACGATATATTTGATGAAGATCTCAAGTAAACTGATGAAGAATAATGCAAATAGCAAGATAATCACACAATAAATATGTATTTCTCAAAACCCAAATGGGCGAGTCAGTGAAAAACTGGTTATTGTTCCGCTAGTGTCCTCACTTATTCGCAAAGTGTGCATCAATTTATGCATAATCATTTATGTTGAACCTTTCCAAGTAACTACTATGTTCTTTCATGCTATTAATTAATGCATTCAAGTGAAACAGAATTATTGAGAATTATTCTATTTTTGTAGAAGGGTGCTTAACTCGTACTACATCTGGAAAAAGTAAGAAATAAACCAGGTCTAGTAAGTTTCACAACGTGATACATGTTGAATATTGCCAATTGAGCACAGGAAATTGTACAGCGCCCTCAAGCATGATTAGTCACCAAATTGGTTTTATATATAAAATACCAGAACATACAAAGTAGGTTTTGAAACTTTAAACAAGCAGCCTCTCGGCTGAGATAGCTCCGCTGTTAGCAATGCACATTTCAATTAAAGAACAGAATTCAAAAATATCATTTTTTACCATAAATGATTGTGGTTTTTAACAAGAAAATATCACTTTTACCAAAAATGACAAAAATATTCACCAAAATTAGATAATTAAAGATATCATTAGAAAATGAACAAATCTGAGAGAGGTCCACATGTAGTACCTATATATGTAATATCAAAGCAATTGGACTTGCATTTTTCAACAAGAAGTCGAAAATATCACTTTTTACCAAAAATGACAAAAATATTCACCAAAATTAGAGAATTGAAGATATGATCATGAAATGAACAAATCTGAGAGAGGTCTACCCAAGGTACATATACACCAAGTATCAAAGCATTCAGGCTTGTAGTTTTCAAGAAGAAGTCGAAAAAGTAAAACATTGACACGGACGACGACGGACAATCACTCATATGATAAGCTTTCTCGACAAAGTCGACAGCGGAGCTAAAAACAACTTACATCTAAGGAGAGATCTCTGTTTTGGTTGTTTCTTAATTTTTCCATCTCTCGTCTAAATCTTGCTTCTTTTACTTCAAATCCACCAAGTTCACTAAGTACGGATGAAGGTTCAGCACCAACATCTTCCAGAAAGACTCGACCAAATAACTCTAAACACAGACGCCATCTACCTAGCAGTACATCATGAGGAACTAGAGGTCCCATTAAGCCTTGCCTGTCAAAATGAAAAAAACATTCAGTATTAAAAGAGTTGTATAGCATTGAAGTAAGATCTTAATTTTACAATGTAAGAATCGTACTTTATAATCAGAAGATGTTACAGACTTGGCCTCACACAAATTGTATCAGACTCACCTGGCAAATGGATAAGCAGGTCCTAAAGGTTGTATATTAGCAGAATCCATAGCAACTGTAGGATGGTTAGTATTTGCAGATGTAGTTACATCAATAGATGCTGGACCTTCAGCAGAAACAGGTGGTAAAGCTTCATCAGCTACGGAGGGTGTTACAACGGCGGCGGGTGCCGAGACATCACTCATTGGCTGTAATATCTCACTTTTAAGAGTATCACTCTCTTTGTCTTTGTCAGCTGCTTGCTCTTGAGTGGATTTCGTTTCAGCAGCACCAGTTGATCGGATGACAGAAACACTTTGACTAGGAGTCACCTGTTCCTTAATTGGACCTGCACTGTCTGGTATGACAGGCACCATTACAATATCGTTGTCAGAGGTGGGAGTATGTGCAGCATCAGTCGTTTGTGACTGCCTCTGGGTAGACAAATCGCTTGCATGAGCCGATATGTTACTCCCATTCAACAAGCTTGCTTGGAATTGAACAGTCGAAGCACTGGCAAAGTTTAAACTGCTATTATCACTTGGAATCTGAGATGACGTGGCATCTAAAGAAAGAGGTGGCACAATCTGCTCGGCTGGTCCAAAAGCTGGTAAGACTGGAGGTTGTACAGTGGGTTGTCTCGGAGATAAACCCATGCGAGTTGGGATAACTTCTAAGTAGCTATGATCAACTGTGATATCCTGGGGTTGGATGGGTGTAAAAACTTGATCAGATTTTGAGGGAATAACTGGCTGATGCGGATTACCAAACAATTCCTCTCGTCGTGCATTAGGTTGCAGAAGATGCGGCTGTTCAGCCAAAGGCAGTGATTCGGCTAGTGAAGTTTCAAACGGATCAGGCGGGGCACAACCGAGGAAAGTTGTGGAGTCTGATCTTTGGAAAAATGGATGCTTTCTCCCACTATTGGTGGAAGGTAGACTATGATCATCATCAATGCTGTCGGTATCCATAGCAACAGATTGATTGACATCATCATCGGCATGGTCATCAGCCTCGTTGTCATCATCAGGGTCCCAGACTAAGGAATCATGGATGTTCTCTGCACTATCAGGAGGCTCCTGCTCACCACCACTTCGCATGTAGTAGATTAACGCATCTAAAACATACGCAACATGTTTTAATGCAGATACGTCAATCATTGGTAATGAATCAGAGTGTTCGTCATTATGCGATCTCATCAAGGATAAGATGTAACTTAAGAAGTCATGACGTGCCGAGTTAGCAGGATCCACGCTTGGTACAAGACGACCTCGTCGCTCTAAGGTACGCAAAATATTAAACTCATCATGTGAGGATGCCATTTCCCGGGCTCTTTCACGCAAGTTGCGCATATGAGCCGAATGCATTGGATGGGATGGATGTGATGGATCAGTTGTTGAACTTAACGCTTGTCCAAATCTCAGCTGAGCTTCTGTGCTGTCCATAATGGCAACTAACCAATCACGGGTTGGTTTTAAATGATATTCCATGTACATCTAAGACAAATAAAAAAGTGCTAAAATATCAGGCAGATTGTATTTACACACATCAACTTATTAACAAAAACATACAGACAGGGTAACTGCAAAGATTTCCATTGTGTGCTTTCCACGCAGGAGAAAAATTTAACAAATTAAACTAATCAGAAACAAACAAGCAATCAATGATCACACTTTTT